ACCAGAATCTGTATCCTGTCCATCTTAGGCATTTTATGAGCCAATATAATATAGCTCTACCTGCAATTTTTTTTTTAATTTTAAAGGATACATTATTTGGATGAAAAACCTTTCACAGATATTGGATTATTTTTTCTTTACAGTACTAGTGGTCATAGTTACAGTTCTCATGGAGAATAGTAATGATACTAGGCATTTTCAGACACTTGTAAGAATAAAATATGCTCTTCATAGATAATCTGAATTTGAAACCCTTTTCTCTCCATTTTCTCCATAATTCTTATGTATTAGCTCTACACTAAAACACCATTTTACAATCCAGAGATACTGAAGTTAACTGGTCCAATGTCATGCATATGCCAATGTAAATATGAACTGATATTTATTTTCTTGTTTCAAATGTCCAGCTCTTCATTTTCTTTGTGCCACTTGAAGATAAAGTTAGTGAAGACTAGAGTCTCATCACTGATTTTTCTAAAAAACTTGAACAATTAATTACTACAATCAGAAACAAATATCTCAAAATCTTAATGAGAGACTGATCAACCGATTATTAAAATATTTTACTGAATAATGAACTAAGGCTTTTATAAAATATTGTCCTTAAACCATAGCAGATTTTTAAAATGCAGCTGTTAAAAGCATGTGTGAATCCAAACGTAAGAAAAATCACAATAAAGCATGCTAAGTTAATAAGGATTTGTCCTTTTACAAACCTTGGGGTAGGCTCACCTGGACGTTAATGTCAAGAGAGAGAAACGACATTACAAACTTCCTAAGGCAGCGTCTGTTGGAAACGATCGGTGACACTGACAAGAAACACTCAGTTCTGAAATCTGGATTTGCATTTGTTAGCCATGCATTATCCTACTTACCTCTCAGGGTAGAACCTTTAATTTCAGAAAGTGCTGGCATGCATTACTGCACCCGTTATCAAAAGTCTTTGGCAGAAATGCCATTTATCCTTGTTGTGGTAATGAACAGATTTAAAACATTCTGGTGTCACCATCCCTGAAAAAGCACATTCATTTGAATATTTCTTCCACCGGCATAATGAAATATTTCATGAAGGCACATGGGTGTAGAATACTATGGAGAGATATTGCTGGTGAATGACAGAACGTCTGGTTGATTTACATGAAACCCCAAGTGCTCATATGAGAATAGGATAGGTTTAGATTGACGAGCAAATGTGTAACCAGACTTCTGGCTGACAAATGGCAGAACTATGCCAGCACATTAGCTTCTCTGGAGAGAGACCAAAAGTGAAATGGGAGGATCAAGTTCATTCTATAAAGGACATTCAAACCTAGTGGATGGCAGTGTGGCTGGGATATTAAGCACTTATAGATATTAGTACCCCCAAATAGTATTGAGTGAATTTACAGTTGAGGGGGCCAACTGTAAGCCAGTGGTTAAACTCTTATAAAGCATTGCCGTCTCCTGTGTGTGTATATTGACATTCCTTCAGGAGGATCCTGGTGTTTTCAAGATAAGTCTATTTTATTGGCAGCTTTGGTCACTAACTCTAAAAATGGATTGTTTGAGTAAACTAGAAACTGAAAATAACAACTGATGAGATTAGTGTAAAACGTGGTGCCAAGCATTTAGTGGTCCAGATTGAATTAGATTTATTCTGGCACAGCACAGCCGTGAACAGAAACATCCACACAGGCTTTGTCCAAAGGATGAAGAGTTTGGACCCATACTCTCTTTTACAGGCTGAGATTGAAAGTTCAGGATTTTGAGTATGCCTTCAAGGAAGTAACGCGATAGTAATAATAGATCCTCCTCAAGTTCCCATGGCGTGCCAGGCCCCCTGCTTGGCACTTACTGTACATTATTTCATTAGATTCTCACCACTACACTGTGGGTAGGATTCATGATGTCTGCTTTATAAATGACCCTGAGGTTCAGAGACATTGGATGACTTGTCCAAGGCCATATAAGTAGGTGACCAAATCGTGATTTAAACTCCAGTCTGACTCTTAAGCCCTTTCCATCATGTTACAATCCTTCCCAAGTGTCTGATGAACAGTACTCATTAACGTTCACAGCTTGCAAGCCCTTTGGTATTTGCAGAGCATTGAGGCAAGAACAACAGAGAGAGCCAAGAGTCCTGGGTTTGAATCCTGGCTCTACCATTTATTTACTCACTGTGTGATCTTGGAAAAAGTTCTAACCTTTATGGGCTGTCTCCTGATCTATAAAACTGTGTGTGTGTGTGTTGTGTGGCGGGCATTAGAAGGTTTATAAGCTACCTTTCATTTCTAACCTTTGATGATTTTGTGAGCTTTCAAGGGGCTTTTAATTTCCTGAAATTGAGGTGCAGTTTTGGTCTTTTGCTTTGTAAGTGAACTCAGCTGTGAGGAAACACTTCCATTTGAAATTCAAAAGCTGACTTAATTTCTTCCACAGAGACATCATTTCTCCCCTCTGTAAAATTCATGTTTCTAAGTGGGTTGTCTCAACACAAACTACCTTTTATTTTCTTGGTGGGCAACTCCCCTGTGTACTGAATGTGGTGCTCTGCTCATAAGTGCCCCATAACAAGGGTTGTAGGACATGCTAGGTATACAAAGTGGTATACCATAATATTACCACAAAGGGAATTCGCTGAAGTTGGCTTTCATATGAAGGCAATAAATGTTACTTCCTGTAGGTTAGGAGACCAAATATGCATGGAGCTGCCTATTTTGGATGCTTTGGTTTATTTCTGTAAATTAATGAAATTTTATTTATCGCATGTCCCTCCTTATTTATAATTCTGTACAATATGCTGGCATCTCTGCAAATGGCTGTCTATGCTTACAGTGCACCACCCTTTGCTAATTTGGCTGCACCCATTCCTCCTGTTGATGGAAATGTATACATTGACTCTCTTGCCATGAACATTCATCGCCCACTGCTCTGCATTCTTGAAGATCAAATGACACGGGCCATGCTGTATGTGGGGAGCAATGTTTCAGAATTCCTTTGATGTTGCGCCTTGTGAGAATGGCTAAATCCAGGCTTTTGCCATTTGACTGAATGCCAGATGTGTTAGCCTGAATTCCTATGATCTTATAGATAGATAGCTGGATGGAAAAATAAGATACAACCACTGCTAAAACCTATTTTCCAGGGCTAATTAAGGTAAAGTTTTGATTAATTGAAAAGTTAGTTGAACAGGATATTATTGCTAATTAGGAGCTAAGGTATAACACTTAAAAAATTCATTTAATGTATACTTTGTGCCATCTGTGTACATAGTGTTAAGTATTGAAAGAGGAACAAAAGTTCTTACAGTCTTTTCTATCCAAAGCACTTTTTGATTTTCTTCTACCAATTACTTCTGAAATTTTTTTTCTACTTGTTCTAGTCATTTTTAAGGCTTTTTGTTGTTTCTGTTACCAAGATGTGATCATGCAGAATAGGCATTTTGAATCAATTTTTATTCATTTAACATTACAAGAAGTTAACCCAAGTATCATTCTGTCAAGTGTATATAACAGTGTGTTTAAACATTCCCTTGTTTGCTTAAAATTTGAGTTGTTTCCACTTGTTTTCCATGATAAAAATGCTATGAAGAAACACTTTCATATAAAGACAAATTTTCATATGTGGAATTATTAGATCAAAGAGGACACTTTTAAATGGTCAATATTATCGATATATTAATCGCAATTGCTTTCCAAATGAGTAGTACCATTTTATACTGCTCTCATTGTGTGACCTTAAGTTTCTCCTTACTATCTTCATCAGCATTGGATTTTTCACTTATGCAACGGGGAAAGTTCTTTTGGAAAGAAAATGTAACACCCTCTATCTATTGAACTCGTGCAATAATCTTGCGAAGTCTACCGTTTACAGATGAATAGATACTGAGATGATTAATTGATTTGCCCAAGTTTATATAACTATTATCAGAGCTGGACCTTGATCTTGGTTCTTCTGAATCCAGCCTATTGTGTGTTTCCATTCGACCACAGCTGCCCCATAAGTAACAGGAATCGGCTAATGAGGCCCTCAAGATAAGCTTGAAGAAGCTCAGTGGTTGGTGTGTATAAAGATGGAATAAATGAGCAGGACTGTAAAGTAAAATGTCCAAATGGTTTTGTTTCTTTAAAAACCAAACATTTCCTCAAAAAGAGTGAATAACTTTAATTCATACATGCTATGAATTAAGAAGGTTTTATTCATCCACATGCACATTAAAAAGGTTTTAAAAGAAAAAAAGTATGTTATTTAATGGTGGTTAGGTATTGGAGTATTTTAACTAAATTCAGATATACATGAGTAATTCCAGTTGGAAGTTGTTCATGCATATCTGAAGGCAGAATGTGGCCTTTTGACTTTAGCCTATTAAACACAAGAAAATTCATAGTTAAAATTCCACTCTCAGCTCCCCAGCCAAGATGGGAATGGCCCCAACCATAAAACATGGTGGACAAGGCTGCCACCAGGCCCAATAATCTGGTGGCATTATAGAGTAGGATAGGCAAACCACAGTAAATCAAGGCCTACCCTTCATTTTTCAAAAAGCCAAATGGGTTAAAGGTGTGTGCATCATTCTTTACAGTGAGAAGGCAGACAGGTTTTGCAACATGCTAGATGATGGTGTGTGGAGCAAATAACAAATGCCTCTTGGTCGGAGGTTGTTTGATCACTCCAGGTATCCATTTGGAGGGTCATCTTGAGAAAGGGGCTTGGGGCCATGTGCTTTCTTATTCTTTGCAGGGATGAAAAAGAGGAAAACCCAGTTTGGAGGCCCCAGTCTGTAAAATGGCAGGATCTGCCAGCCACAGAGTGTGGCTTTGGGCAGAGCAGTTTGTGCTTCCATTTATCTGGAGGTTCCTGGTATGTAGAAGCCCCACCCCTGAGCACAACAGGAGGTCGAATAATGAGGATTGGCAAAACTCAGGAACGGGCTCACCTCCCTAGATTATGAAATCCCATTATCTAATCAGATCATCCCATAATGGACATTAAAAACAAACCAACCAAAGAAAAAAGAAAGAAAAAAAAAACCACCAGTATTTATTTTTCAAAGATTTGATTGTGACTGTGGATGGCAGAAAGAGTGTCTTGTTAACATGACTCAATGTCTTTTAGAGAATTGCAAAGAAGCCTGGTGTCTTCAAGCATTCAGATGAGCTCCTCTAGAGGCCTTTACAGGGAGACGAAACTGCTTCAGTGCCTCCTTCAGGGCTGAGACCATGATTTGGATTCACCCTGGCTTAAAGGAGAAAAATTGGAAGCAGCAGGAGGCATCTGTGTAGAGAAGTCGCGAACATCTCTCTAGGTCCCTTGTTTTGTAACCAGATTTTAATTTTAATCAGTAAGGAATCCTGAAAAAACAGTAACAGAAAGCAGTCTGGAAGTAGCTTTGATTACAAAACCGTACAGTCATGTCTCCCAGCCACCAAAGTATTTTCATAGCCATTTGCCCGAAAGGTCAGGCACTAAATAAGCATGTCGTCCGCTGCCTGGATCTGGGGTCTCGTTTTCCCGGAGGCATTAGAGGAAAGGCATGCAGAGCTCAGCTCCAGGGGTGCTGCTCCCCAGGCTAGTCTAAATGGCTCTTCTTTCTGACGTGACTAGAGTGTTTTCTGTCACCTCTAAACACTGCCTGCTGTGATAACATTCATTCCCCAGGCTCAGGTCGCCGTGACAGTCAGGAATGCTTGGAAGAGGCCAGAGTGGGACAAGATGGCTGCCCCGCCCAGCCCGCCGCTGGCCGGATGTGGAGCTGGGAGGAGCTGAACCTCATTTTGCCCCCTGTTGTCTTTGGAAGGCTTTCATTTGGGTTTTGACTGGGTGGTCCCTTAGGTCTGCTACTACATTCCAAGTATTTCCAAAACGTTCTGAGAAATGGTGGTTCAACTAAATGAACATATTCTCCTGACTAATGTGGGAAGCTGTGTGGCGCTGGCATTTCCTCCTTGACATTCCCCACTTTCGTTTCCTTTGAAGGCATTTAGAACAAGGCAGAATGTGTCAATTTGAATTCTAAGATTCCTGGTACAGTAGATTTTTTTTTTTTTTAACAGCTCCTATGGTTTAATGCTCAGTGGTTTCCAGCCTTTTTGGATGTCTCACTGGATTCAGTAAAAGGTTTTTAAGCAGATACTCCCAATACTTGTTATTTATTTGTAAATTATATACATGTACTATTGAACTAACATATTAATTAAAAACACATAGAAAGAAAATGTTAAAGAAAAAAGCAAAGAGGCCAAGGCGGTGACTCACGCCTGTAATCCCAGCACTTTGGGAGTCGAGGCAGGTGGATCACTTGAGGTCGGGAGTTCAAGACCAGCCTGTCCAACATGGTGAAATCCTGTCGCCACTATACAAAAATTAGCCAGGAATGGTGGCGCAGGCCTGTAATCCCAGCTACTTGAGAGGCTGAGGCAGGAGAATTGCTTGAAACTGGGAGGCGGAGGTTGCAATGAGTGGAGATCACACCACTGCACTCCAGCCCGAGTAGCAGATCAAGACTCTGTCTCAAAAAACAAACAAACAAACAAAAAACCAAAAAGAGTGAAGCAAAGATGAAATAATATTGTTTACTTTCTTGATGGTACAAAACCCCTTTCTGCTTTTTGCTTTTCTATTAAGATTGTACACTCATTTTATATTTATATGTGACTGAAAATGAATATACTTCATTTGAAACATCACTTCTTAGTTTTTTTTACACTTTATTTTTATTGAGTTTGGTTTAACACTTTGTGACACCATTCAAAAGTCTGCTTCTAAGATCAATCTATTCTGATACTTGGCTTTAATGATTATCATGGCTAAAACAATACTGTAGAGATCATGCAAGAAGGGCACTATTGGCTGTAATTGCTAAGTTCGAGTCACTTTTTCAGCCACATCCACCAGCTAGGCAAAGTTTCTGTTGAAAGTTTACCAATACATTTTCATCTGCCTTGAGTCAATCGACAGTTCTTACAGTCTAATCAAAGTGCTTCCCATTGACGAAACCCAGAGAAAGTCATAAGGCAAAGAAGTCTGGTTGATGCACCATTTTTTACATAAATATGTAGAGACAAAGATAGATAGATAAAGACATATTCAATGTTCTCTGAAATTGTACATTTGAAAGATTTTTAAATAATTTAGAGAAACATCATTTCTCAGCTTTTTTTACACTTTATTTTTATTGAGCTCAATTTTACATATACATATAAAGTTTGTCATCTTTACCATTTTTAAGTGTACAGTTCAGTGCTAATAAATACATTTATATTCTTGTTTTCCCTTTCATCTCTCCCTCTTCCCTATCTTTCCTGGTCTCTGGTAATCATCCACTTTTTTAGCTCCCACATATGAGTGCAAACGTGATATTTGTCTCTCTGTTGGTTGGCTTGTTTCACTTAAGTGGCCTCCAGTTCCACCCATGTTGCTGGAAATGACAGAATTTCATCTTTCCTTATGACTGAATAATATTCAAGTGTATATATATGCCACATTTTTCTTTATGCATTCATTCATTGATAGAGCCATGGTTTAATCCATATCTTGGCTATTGTGAATAGTGTTGCAATAAACATGGTAGTGGAGATATTCTTTTAATATATTGATCTCCCTTTTTCTGAACATAAAAATATGTCCAAAGCTCTCTGAAACTGCACATTTAAAAGGTTTGTTGTTGTTGTTGTTGTTGTTGAAGAGATGATCTTGCTCTGTCACGCAGGCTGGAGTGTAATGATACAATCACAGTTCACTGCAGCCTTGACCTTCTGGGATCAAGCACTCTTTCCACTTCAGCCTCCCAAGTAGCTCTGGCTACTGGCAATGCACCACCATGTTCAGCTAAATTTAGAATTTTTTGTAGAGTCCGGATCTCACTTTGTTGCCCAGACTGGACTCAAACTCCTGGACTCAAGTGATTCTCCTACCTTGGCCTCCCACAAGTGCTAGGATTACAGGTGTGAGTTAACATGCCCAGCCTACATTTTATATATATATATATATATATACACATATATGTATATGTATGTATGTGTGTATATATATATATATATATATATATATATATAC